AGGCAAAATAAAGTGTCGTGTGATGACCACAATACATTGCTTTACCATCCTTGTTGAAGTTTGTGGCTAAGGAGTCATGTGAATAAGATTGCATACATTACTCGTTTTTGTTTGTTTTGATGCAGCAAAAGTAGATGGTCTACGCACATAAGTAGATGGTCTACCAAGATAATTTTCAATCCTATCTATATTGAACTTGACACACCATGGCCTACCCAAAGAACTTTGCTCGCAACCAAGCCGCTGATGCTGATGATGTGAATGAGCTCTCATCAAATTTCCGGCGACAAGCAAGCTTTACTAGTAGTTAGTATTTTATACGTGTAGCATAACGCGTACTTAACGTTATGTATGTATAGGTCGAGAAAACATGGATGTTGTGTCTGATGAAGGGGCTGAAGAAGGCAACCATGCTAGCAATCAAGCTAGTAATGAAGCTGATAGTAAGTTGGAAAGGTTAAGAAGCTGTATATACATAGTATTTATTTTCGGCTGATGATAGATGACCAGGCGATGCAAGAACGCCCAAAAAGAAAAAGCGTGGTCCTTATACCAAAACAACGGACCAAGCGTTCGCTGCCAGCGTCAGGAATGTGATTCGTCGTGGCTATCGCACGGAGCAGGCAGCTGACGCTGGCAATATCAGGGCATCAACGCTTCGCTCAGCTTTGAAGCGTTACCGCTTGAGAGGTACAGCAAAGCCTCTTAAGCGGGGTAGAAAGCCACGTGGTGCTTTCAATGACGAGTTGGTCTACTTCCTCTTTGGTTATGTGGATCAACATCCTTTTGCCACCGTGGAGGATGTTTTGGATGAGGTCGCTGCAGATCCAGTGGTGCATGAGTTTAAGCCATCAAAGACCACGTTGCACAACTGGTTGCGCGAAAATGCACGCCTCACTTTCCAGTGGATGCAAAGCTTTCCTCCTGAGCCATCAGCAGATGAGGGAAAACGTGCCATTGAAGAGTACAGTCATATATCAGATATGCCTACCTTCAATGTGCATGAGAACTGTGTGTTCATCAGCGAGGCTGCGTAAGTGTAATTTATTGAATAGTAATAGATCAAGGTACTCATATCATTGCCATTGT